ATGATCTCTATTTGGGTAAGCCTTACTGTAGAGGCTTTTTAATGCTGCTCCATAAGACTGGGCAGATTCTCCATTTCTTTGATCCCTTCTCCTGAATTTTGTCTGAAAGGTCTTATGAGATTCATAAACCCCAAAACGATTCCCAAGTTCCCTTCTCAGTTTCCTGTAGCTTGTCAAAATTTCTGAACTTAGCTCCTCAAAAACAAACTCGCCTGCTGTGCCTTGTAATCTCGGCAAGAGCTGTCCTAACTTTTGTTTGTCTGTCCATCTGTTGTGACTGGCTACAGCCTCAAATCTATTGATGTAGGCTTTCCAACTTTCATCTGGGTCTCCTTTGAAAGCAGGTAGTTTTACTGAAACTTGTTTTTCTTTGAAAATCCTGTTTGTAGAGACAGAACTTGCATTGTCACCTGAGTCAGACTCATCACTTGACTCATCACTGTTTGAGTCCTTGTTGGTACTCTTGTTGAGCATACTTTTTGTCTGTGATTTGTTGTGTTCTTTATTGACATGGGGGTTTTCTTTGAAATCTTTTAAAGTAGTTGTGAAAATATTCCCTATGGTCTCAGTCATCTTGCTGAGTGCTCCATTTATCATTTGAGCAAATGTTTCTAACATATTTGTTTGGCTTTGATTTATTGAGTTTTCATTCTTGTCAGGATTTTTTCCTTCATTTTGAGTATTCCTATCTTGTGTGAGGTTTGAGGGTCTTGACATTCTTTTAGTGTATGTCTTGTTTCTCTTGTTCTTAGAAATGAGAGGACTTGCATTTGAGGATTTGTTGACTTTTTGTGGGGGTTGTACTATAACTTCAGGGTACAGTACATGTACACACTCTGTGTTTGAATGATCCTCTGTGTTTGAATGATCCTCTGCATCTGAGTTGCACGTGGAGTTGTCCTCATCACATTCTGTTAAAAATTCCTCCTCACTTTCTTCTGTGAAATTCCCTACTTCCGTAGGACAGATAATTTGGTTTGTCTCAGTGTCCATTTGTTCTCTTAAAGCTGCCTGGCGTCTTGTAAACATAATTGAAGTATCATACAATCAAAAATTTTACATTTGTAGCAAGTCCGTATCGCTGGATCCACGCCTTAAAACAGTGGATCCCACTTCTGACACCAAATAAAATGTAGCGAGATAGCGCTTAAATCTGACACCGTAAATATAAGTAACTGGATGGCTCTCAATAAATGATACTTTTGACCCCCGACAACTTTCTGATCTTTTTTTTTAAACCAATTGATTTTTAAATTAAATGATGGACTCCGTAAATAATTAAAATAAGATTCAAATATCTTGAGATGATGGTTTATTTGACTAAATCTCTTAACAAACAAATCAAATAAAATTCAAACACTTACAAGATTCAATCAAGAAAATACAATAAAAAAATCAACGTGGCTGCAGACGTCCCTAAACCCTAAATTTACCCCAAAATATTGAGCTTCCCTAAGACATAATTAATTCCTGAAGCGACTCTAATAAATAAATGCTAAATATTACTTCTCCAATTTACTGAATTAAAAAAAATTACGAAAATTTCCCAAAGTTATTAAAATTTCACCTACATCCTATCTTAAACCCAAAAAAATCTTGAGTCCCCGTTATACAATGGTAGCTCACTTATATACCCTCGGGAAACGGTCCCGTTATAAAACTGTTAACACAACGGTATCCGTTGGAAAGCAACGGAATTCCAGCAGGAAAATACAACGGAAAATAGTTCCCGTCTATTAAAAATTACTTTAACAAGTATGAAATATGAATAAACAGTAACTCTAATTCATTAATGCATCATAAAACATAATTAATTACCTTAAAACTCATTTTTCTATGTAAAGGCAAAAATCGGTCAGCGCATAAATATCAGATGCGCGGATCAAGGAGTAAACGAAAATTCACCCATAATGCATTGCGCCGCCATGTAAATAGAAAACAGACTGTCTGCAGTTTACAACATGTGCTTGCATAATACAGGTAAAATACTAGTGAAAAACATAATTTAATCAAAATATCTAGTAGATCTTACTCTTTTTACAACATTTATGCGATTATTTCAACAAGGACTTCATTAAATACGAAAGGATATGCATGTATTACATATACTCGTTCTACTTTCACTTTGCATACTGAGGCATGAAAAGTTGTGAATCCAATTTTTGAACATCACCTTATAAATATACAATATATGCGGTCAAATTACTCAATTTATAAATCATTCATAGGATTTAATTAATATGCCAAGATTTGTATTCTAAATACAAATAAAATATGGAAACTTGAAATGACCAAACATTACACATGCATTACACGATTATCTATTGAATTTAGAATTCTATCGAGCTCGGCACATTTCTTGATGTTTTTATTCATGTATCATTGTTAAAGACATTTAGGGATGTACATAAATTAGTGGAAGTATCTTTCCGCCAAAAGCGCTAAAAGGAATACACCCCCAAATGGAATACATTTTCAGTATTCCAGTTAAATTGAAATAAAAGATACCGCAGTATACGATACCTTTATAGAAAAAAACCTTAATGGTGACCTAAAAACAATACTTTCTTATAGAAACATAAAAGACACTAACTTTGATTCCTTTTTATTTATCAAGATACCCTTGTGACCAGTATAACAACCATACAAACTCTACATGTACGAATGAACGAGAAAAGCTAGTGATAAACATGTTGATGAAACAAAGATATCAACAGTTTTGTTTGAATACGGTTCGGGAGTTCTTTGATCGATACTATAATCTTCTCTTCGAAACAATTTTATCGGTTCGAATGCTGACAGACCCTCTCTATACTTAGTGTATGGCCAATATTTAAAACATTAAATCATTTAAGGATTTGATGACAGGAAGCAGCAAGGGGTGTGAACTGCCGACAAGTGGGACTCAAACGCTTTCATGGCAAGAGAAATAAATAAAGCTAGATATAGTGTATCATAGGAGGACATTCAAGGAAGTCATATAACAAATGTATTTTAATTAGTAAAGAGTTTTATAATTAATCTTATTACTGTAAATCACTTTTTATTCGCGAGAACTTTATTTTCGCGTTATTACGCGAGACAATGCGTTCGCGAAAATTACATTCTCGCATTTAAAAGTATTCTTTATGATTATATAGAGGAATAATAACTAGTCGTGAAAATTATGTCTCGCTTACAAAGAGTCAATGACAATCTCGCGAAAATAAGGTATCGCGAAAATTAAGTGATCTACAGTATATTATACATGCATTTTAATTAATAAAGAAAATCAAGAAATATGTCAGCAACCAAAGCAAAGAATTATCTGAAAATAATAAATAGAATTATCTGTTATGAACCGCACCCAACTCCTGTATACATCAACACTGTACTACGCTATAATTATTAAATCGCAACACAAAACAAAATTATCTATGGTTCTGTCCGTGACGTTCAGGATGACCGGATTTCTGATGTGTGAAGTGTGCAGTGTTCTTAAACTCCATGACAAGTTTGGATCTTAGACGTACTAAATGACTAATTTTTGGTAAGAATTAAGACACAACAAGAAAAAATATGCAGATTTGTAAAAATATTAATACTGGTAAAATCAATATCCAAAACCTATGCATCCCTTCGCACAAAAGCAAGACACACGAATTGGAATTAAGCAAACTTCTTGTCTTTCAGCCAATCTGTAAAGATTAGGCAGATTTGAATTTAGCACTCATTTTAGAATATTCAATTTTTTTAAATGAGAAAGAAACATTCTCTGGGACAAAAATTTACACAGAATGCTTAAAACCGACTTATAGAATTATTCTTATATATTACATAAACAGCTATAAGATTTCAAAATTTGGCAACAGCTGATTGTATTGGTTATTGTTTAGAACACCTTACACCTTACATACAGATATACACCATTTTGAAAGATAGCATATTGAAGCAGACATTTTGAGCAGACATAAATAGCTTTTTAGTGACGCATTTTAGGCAAGTAAAGCAGAAACCTTGAATGGGTGTGAGCTTATGAGGTTACATATACATTATTTCTCAAGCGCGCGAATCAAAGCCAGACAATACATAACCTATCTTGTTTCAACTTACACAAATTTTGATACTTTATAAACATAATTCTCTAAAAGGTAAGGGGGTCAGCTGACTCAACAGAGTCATTGAAAAGTAAAAACGAAAACAATTTTTCCTTTATGTGTTTATTTGTAAAGTAAATTGAATATATTAAATTTCTTTAAAGCCAAGGAGAGAATATATCTATGTAGTGTATTTAAAAAAAAAAAAAACAAAAACAAAAACAAAACGCATGGGCCATAGTAAATTAAGATTGATTTTTTTTTCTTTATTTTTTCCTTTGTTTTGCATTAATGCAGAGCAGTGTGATGTACTTTACCGGCATTTAAAAATGGATCATTAAAATGTTCTTTTTTCCTTACAATAATTTGATTGGGTAATAAGAAAATGGGCTAAATATGAAAAAAATTAAAAAAAAAGTACCCAATGAATTTGCAATTCCATATAACAAGCTATGAAAACAAAACAAAAATATTTTTTTACATTAATATCTTGAATAAACAGTACAGGTGTTTGTCAAGATGAGCATGCAACTTAAGATGATTCACTCGGAGAGAGGACATGACAACACGCTGAGGTGTAGTGCATGGTTTAGGGTATTTAAAGGTAGAGTCCCAACCTTATGTCTTTCATACGGCTAGTCAGATTAAATTTATTTTTAAATGCATGGTAGCTAAACTGAATTTATTTTTAAATTTTGAGATAATGAATGGGAATACCCGACAAATTATGAATGAAACATTTTGCTTGCTACCGGATATTTATGTACTTGGTTTATATACCTTACCCTGCGATAAAATTCAGACAGTCAATTTAAATCATTCTAACCGCAAAAACCACATACAAATACATTTAGTGGTTTCTTAGTAAGATTGCATTTAACTGTTATAGTGTGAATACTTAAATAATGCATAGTCCGTGTTTTTATTTATATAAATGTCATGCAAAAATTATTTCTTGTTTTACAGGTATTTTTTTTTCTTGCAACGGAAATTATGGAATTACAGAGCATATTAGTCTATATCATTTGGATTCCATTTGTTCTGCATTCTGCATCAAAGGTAATATTACAAACATTGCAATGATGTGTATTTAGAAAAAAAATACGAGAAAAAGATCCATCGGAGTAAAAGATAATTACATGTTCGGTACAGTGATTCAGAAAGTAAGTTTTACTTTGCAGTATAAGTAACAGTTAATTAACTTGAGAGCAAAAGATTTTCGATTATCAATTTATCGTCTTTTTAGACACATGCAGAGATACCTGATGCATCTAAAGGATGTACAGAATCAAAGGAAACTGCAGTTTCTGTAGAAACTTGTCCAAAAACAGAACAGGAATGGAAAGAGGCAGCATCAAGGAAAGGATGCAATAAAATCAGTCACTCTTGTTCCTCATTTGAATATCACTGTGTCATAAATGCATGGAAAAATGAAACAGTAGAAGTCTGTGCACCGATTAAAAATATCGTTGGTAAGAGAAGTACCATGATATCAGTTGATTTTTGTCAATAAATATTCAACTACACTGTAAGACGTAAAATCAATTTCATTTCTTTGAATGCATGTTTAACGCCATTGAAACTAACTTTTATTAGGAAACGTATGCACAGAGTATAGTTTTGGTGGATCCCGAATACAGCGCAACTCAGAGGCAGGATGCAAAAATTGTCCATCTTTTTATTACTCTAACAAGAGCTACAAATGTACGTAATAATTTGAACATTAAAAAAAAAGATGAGTAAAACCTTTTAGTTCAAAGTCTTACGCAAAATGTAAAGACGTGTATGTTTCTTGTCTTTGTTTTTAAATCACAAAATTCCATGTCAGCACATTATATCAATATAAGACGCTTTAAGTGTAACGTAAAGAACTTACTACCCGATATTTCTCTGCCATGTATAGATCCTGAGTGCTATAATTTAATTTCTACAAAAGTTTTTGTTTTACGCTTTTATAAAACAATTCAGACAATATAAATTCAACAAGTTTTTTTTTCACTTCTACTCTGAAGACCACGGCTATATCAGACAACAAAGAATCCATTACTCCCTCTAAACAGGAAATGGTGTCCACTAATCCGGATTCAGCTCCCTCCAGACAGAAAGGGTTGTCCACTGATCCGGATTCAGAATCAGATCTCAATATCAAAATACTGTAATTATCCTTTATTTTCTGGAAAGTAAATAACATTTTCAAATTTCAAATCTGCCATTCTTAATCTATAAATGAAGCATACATTAAACCATTTTTTTTAAAACATCAAGCTTATGAATATTTCTAAATTTAACTTTGTAGCATCCCAATCTGCATCGGACTTGCCTGTCTAATAGCATTTATGCTCGTATGTGCTGTATATCATTCAAGAAAAGAATGTTTCTTAATAAGAGGTATGTGCTGTTTTTTTCCTTTAATACAATCATTTTGTAAAACTGATATTAATTTATGAAAACATTAAAACGCAGTTGTTTTAATAGGCTTAATTCTGTGTATTTATAGATATAATTGCACGGATATGCACGTTTAGGAAAAGACAGAAACGTAAGAATTTGATTATTATAATCTATCTAATAATACCATTAGTAGAGGAATTATTTCTTTTATTCACTCTTTGAAAGATATATCGGTACATGCAATTACCTAATTATGATACTGATTTTCTTTTTTCAGAAACCAGCTTTAATGAAAATATTAATACTCATATTGAAAACACGCCATTAAGGGAAGAAACACCAGACCATTGTTCAGTAAATATGGAACCATCATGACAATAGATGAGAAAAATGATGTGTGATCCTGAGAAAAACTACAACTTGATGACACAATAATACGGCCTTTATTTGTTGTATGCATTCATGTACTAATTTGTTACTGACTGAAAAAAATGGCAGCTAATGTTTTTGTTGTGTTCTATTTACATGTATTAACGGTATGCAGGTACTGTTTTATACTCTTTTATTACATTTGTTTTATGAACTGTGCCAAACCTTGCTCAATAAAGATAAATAACTATGAACCTTTTATTTTTTTTATTTCAGATTTTGCTCCCAACCCCTTATAGTCGTCTCTACATATCAAGTGATAATCTCGCTTGATTAAAGTTATTTGTTAGATTGCCGAAAATTCACTTCGAGTGAGTTTATTGCTTGTAGAGACAACTAAAAATGGTTGCAAGGTGGATGAAGTATATATATATTGGCTGCATAATGTGTAGAGAAGTAGGGAGTGAAAGGTATTTGATTAACCAATGATAGAAAGTGGAGAAATTCTCCCCAAAAGTGCGCAAAAAATATTGCGCCGTAAATTGCATTTTTTTGCATTACAGACTCTGTAGCGTTTTGGCCAAAGACAAAAATATAAAACCATTACGCTACAGATCTGCAGCTATGAAGCCTGTTACATGCCATGTACTAAAAGTTTTGCAACTGAACATGGAAACTTGCATGTCAAGGCTCTATACAAATATTCAGTTTATGTTTAATTCTTTAATGATGTAATATTTATGAAGAAAAGTGAATACATTCATCTATTTTCTAGTATAAAGTAACCTGGTGTTGTGTTAGGACTGCCGAGTGCGATGAAAGTCATTGATTATGTTTTTATGCACATGTACATATTATAATAAATAACATAAGGTGTGAGTTATAAAGTCACTGCTTCAACAGCTTTTTAAAAGTATATCATATGTAATTTCATAGCAATGTGTCAAAAAAAATTTGGAGAGACTTCCAGGAATAAATATCATACATGTATTTACATTTTCGTTTGTAACACGAATCAAGTGTAAAATATACTGATACAAAATATCATTTTTCAATGTTTTATAGGAATGTGCATGAGTACGTGATCGAATCTCATAAGACCTACTCGCGTAAGATAACTTGATTATTTATATATCTTCATGCCATATCCCAATGAAATTCTAAAAATGATATTTTATTTATTTAAATAAATGAAAGAATATAGTCAATTAAGTCGTGCATTTAGACTCAATAAACAGTTTGTCTCTATATCGAGCATATAAGACAAATAAGGCCTCAACTTAAAATGAAAGTAGTCTCTGCGGTGATGTGCTTTTCAAAAATCAGTTTAAAAAGTTGTTTCTCTAAAATTTAAAATTGCAAACCTGGTAAATAAAAACAAGGACAGATACATTAGTCACATCACGCATAACTTATTCCTCCAACACTATATGCACTTTAATGAAAATTTGATTTAAGTGAAAACTACAAAATGTTTTTGAGTCGATGCGACACACAAGATTAACTTCTGTGAACTGAACTAAAAAAACAATAGTTGTATTGCGCAATTATTAGGTATGCTTATTTCTTTATTGAACTTTGAAAGAAAAAAATAACCTAAAAATGTTTTTCTTCTTCCAGAAACAATAAAATAGCAATACTCACATTGTGGAACAACAAACCACTGTTCGCATCAGACTTAACACACAAGATTAACTTCTGCGAACAAAAAAAAAAAAAAACAACAGTAGTTGTATTGTGCAATTGAGCATGCTTTATATTCATCTCGTGAAACACATTTTCTAAAAGGAAATCGCTATGTCATCTTTGACAACACAAAACACACGTAACAGTATAGCAAAATGTTTTTGCAACTTGTTGCAAGATTATCTTGTACAATTTGCCAATAATTTTTAAACTAAAATTTTACCTTTTTAAAGCCTTCTTTCTACAATTTTTTTTCAACAATAAATGTCATTAAAAGGATGTTTTACGACGATGAGTAAACTTTTACTTCAGTAATTTCAGTCAGTTCAGTTGTTATTGTAAATTGTCACCTGTACCCCTTGCATAGAAAAAGAGCAAAGCGCTATACGTACAAACTACACACTTTATATCAAATATCTTCCCTTGATTTTTCTCTCTTTTATTTGTTTGTTTTTTTTCTTTTGATTTTTAAAAATTTAAATATATTCAATCAAACTTCAATCCAACAAACTGATTGAATGTGGCTTACTTCCTGAAAATCAAACGGAGGAACCAGGGAAGGCTTTCCAAGGAAATGTTGTGAATTGTATATGTACAACATACAATGTATATAATTCAGTAAATATCAATATGATCTCTCAGAATACACATTTTTCAATAAAACCTAAATAAGAAATTGAATTTTGAGTTTGACAACTGTTCACTTTATATTCCACCTGCTTAAGAACTTCAACATTTATATTTCAAAAAAATATTACAAAAATTCATATAACAAAAAATTGTACGAATCTGAAGCAAAAAAAAAAAAAAAAATTCTGTGAGGTTCATGAAATACCGTGTTAGTGCTAAGTGCAGTCTTCTTTAACTATTCCAAACATTTGGCCTCTGGACAAAGATACACGATTAATGTTTTGCTTTGCAGATATGTTGGGACTCATCCATTTACATGTAGTATAATTGATAATAAATCCTAAGTATGAAGTCATCAAATTCTTTACTTTATCAGGTTTGAACAAGGTTAAATATTTTGATTAATATTAAAAGATTAAAAGAACAATTATCAATATATTGCATTCTTCTTTTTTTTAAGTCAAAAATGGTCAATGACTACCGAGTTGGAATGTTTAGACAATCTTGTCGTTATTCCAAAGATTAAGTTTTAAAATATTTTATGCATATACTTAGCTCTTATGTAACAATATATTACATTGTTTTCTTAATATAAAAATTATTCTTAGGAAAAAACAAACATTTACACTATACGATAATATGAAAAAGACAATGACTACTTTATATTAATCAAACTGTGTTTTTTTTTATTTTGCAGTTTTGAATTATCTAAGCGCACGAAGCGTGCAAATCCGATTGTGGACGGAAGTGTCGTGAAGGACATATTATAACTATTGGGTACTTATACTGTCTCGCTAGTGAGCTACATGTAGCTTTTCTTAATACTAGTAACAGCCCTCGCATGGGTAAAATCAGAGTTCGTATAATATTCTCATGCACTCAAATCAACCTCAACCCATTAATAACACATAATATAATCTTGTTTTGAATGACCCACATTTGGTATATTTAAAAACGTGTTTACATTATATATGATCTTCAAAAAGAAGAGTTCATATGACTCATGTCAGTCTTTTTACAAAATCATAAGTATATTATCCTTTTGTACAGATCAAGTGAACTGAATATTGATTTTTTTTTGTGATGTGCCAAAAAATCTGTTTATAATGATTCCCAGGTAAACATTTCAATAATTTCTAAACGTTGTATTAAATAAGGCAAACATCACCGTGACAATAAATGTTTCAAACAACTCTCCATTTTTTTTCATCAATTCTAGCATAATATACAAAAAAACGAAATATTTCTTAGGTTTAGGATACATGTGCCACCCGTGTGCACATCTAGCTCTAAAAAAGTGAGAGAGAAAAAATGGAAGAAATAATGATAAAAGCAACTTAGAAAATTTGCAATTGAACATATCATACTATTACTATGCAAAGGAGAATGTTACCTTTTTCTTACTTTTTTTTAATTATTACCCGAAATAAAATCTTTATCTTAAGAGCTCTGGCTACAATCATACATTGAGAAAATATCAAGATACATCATGTATACAGAGGAAGATATCTTTTAGCATTTACGTTTTACTGTATTAAAAGGTAGGTACCATCGTCGTGTCTTTTATACAGGTAGCTAGAATGAATTTATTTTTAAATGGTGAGATAATGGGAATACCCGACAAGACACAGATTATGAATGACACAGTTTGGCTACTACCGGATATTCATGCACTTGGTTTATATATACCATTTCCTGTAAAATTTATCAGTCATTTAAATGAAATCAACCAAACCACAAAACCACAGTTTTTTGTTCGTAAACACTTAGTGGGATATCCTAGTAAGACTGCATCTGTTCACTTTATGCTAATTCATCAATAATTTATGAAAACATTTTCTGCTTTTCAATATCCGTTGCACTAATTATCCCATCTTTATTTTTTACAGGTAATTTTATTTGCAACAATACAATGGAATTAAAGTGCAAATTGATCCCTACCATTTGGATTGGATTTGTATTGCACTCTGCATCAACGGTAAGATAACAAGCATTATTATTATATGTATATAAATATAGCCTTTTGAAAAAAAAAAATTAAAATACTCAGAAAGTAAACTTGTTTTGTACAGTTATCTAGTAAAGTATTTGTCTTAGTTTACTGATAGTAACTTTGAGTGACATGTGCTTGCAGGATTATTTTAATATCATTCTATTTGATTTTTTTTCAGACTCATGCAGAGATACCCGATGCATCTAAAGGATGTAAAGAACCAAATGAAACTGCAGTTTTTGTAGACTCTTGTCCAACAACAGCACAGGAATGGAGAGAGGCAGCATCACGAAAGGGATGCAAAAATCGCTGTTCCTCATTTGAATATCACTGTGTAATAAACGCATGGATAAATGAAACAATAGAAGTTTGTGCACCTATCAAAAATATTGTTGGTAAGAGAAGCATCATCATGTCGTTTAATTTTGTAAATTTATATTTATTAATGATTGATTGCATATAATTTCATTTTCTGATACGTTAACTCTACCTTAAAGTATCTTTTGTTTTCAGGAAATGTATGTGCAGAGTACAATTTTGGTGGATCTAGAATACAGCGCAACGAAGGCGCAAAATGCAAGAAATGTCCATCAAATTATTTGTCTAATGAGAGCTTTAAATGTACGTAGTATTTTTAACCTTCATTACGCTTTTGTGATAGAACATGAAGTGTTTACACTTTGTAGTATAAAGTAGGAAAACATGAGTCAAAAACTGAGTCAAAAACTTTTTGGGTAATTTAATCCAAAAATTCAAAGATACCGTATTGCGGGTTCTAAGTCTTTTGAGGGCGGTCCGCTAAAATTTTAATCGCTTTAGCACTTTTTGGGTAATTTAATCCAAAAATTCAAAGATAATCAATAAGATTATTAAATGGAGGACGTCCTTAATGAAGATAAATATATCCTTTTTCTCCTCCATATATAGATCCGGAGTGCTACGATTTAGTCAACAAAACACGTGAGAAAAGCAGACCAACAGTTTTAACAAGTTCATATTTTACGACAACCAAGGTTACAACAGACGATAAAGAACCAATAACACTCTCAAGACAGGAAAGGTTGTCCATTGACCCTGACTCAGATTCAGATCTTCATACCAAAATAATGTAATTTTTTTTAAAAATATGTTTGTTTAGTCATACTGCAATCAATTATCATACTGCATACGTTCATAAAAAATGGCTTTATAAAAACTGAAAATGAAACATACATCAAGAATTTTTTATTAAAAATATCGATGGACCGTTCATGGAAGCTCAGTCAGTAGAGCGCTCGTTCCGTGACCGGAAGGTCATGAGTTCGAATCTTGGCCGCAACCGACCTAAGTCGATAACATTTGGTAGCAACTGTTCCTTCACCATGCTCGGCACTTTGAAATAAAAGTTGCGGGTCCTACGGATGAGACCTTAAAAACAGCGGCAGGCATTGGCACGATAAAGATCCCTCGCTGTTCAATGGCCCTTAGTGCCGAGGAAAAGTCAAAATTTGAAGCCCTTCACCAGCATCCGCTAAAGTCTCTGTATGAGTGAAAACATTTTGAGAGGGACGTTAAACAATATAAATTCAATCAAAAAATATCAATGGAGTATAAATTTTTATATTCTCTCTTTTTCCAGCATCCCAATCTGCTTTGGAATTGCCAGCCTGCTAATTGGAGTTCTTATATGTATTCTTCATGTACATCGTTCTAGAAATTCATGTTCCTCCATACTAGGTATGTGCTATTGTAATTCTTTTAATTCCATTTCATTTGGAAAACCTCAATGCTTAACACCTACTAAGAAGTACGTTTTTTTTTTATACATATATCAACTTAAATCTATTTTAATTACAGATACCATCTCATGGTTTTGCAACTTTCAGAAACAACAAAAACGTAAGATTTAAAAAACTAAACACAGCCTCTCTAAACCATTATTTATTACTGTAAAGACCTAATCGCTGATGTATTTGTATAAAGCCAAAGCTGTACTTATTTTTGCAGATACCGATGTTAATGAAAATCCTGATACAGACATTGAAAACACACCATTAAATAAGGAAAACACAGACCGTTGTTCGGATGAGACGGAGCCGTCATGAGATATGAAAAGAATGAAATGACCAACATCTAGGCGAAACAAATTAAAATTGATCCTGGGGAAAAATTGATACTTAAAGAATAAGATTTTTTTTGATAAACGTATGAAACGAAGTCGGTTATGTGATCAAATCCTATATCGCCAACGAGGCTGGTGCAGTTTGCTTTCCATACTCAACAACATCTGATCATTTGACCAACTGTGTGTTATTGAGCATTTATATTTTACTTTTTTATTCTTGTCACGAAGAAATACAACCACTATTTCAACTTTGCTATTAAACTGCGAAATAAGGTACATAAGATATCATGTGACGTCATATTCGGAACAATTCAAGTGGCTCGTGCAGTTTGCTTTCTATACCCAAGGACTAATGATCTAGACCGACGGAATGCCGCTGAAAAATTAATTTCAATTAAATTTGTGTTACTTTATAAAGCATCGGCAAAAGTCAATTTAATGATTTGTCATCCCTTTTCTTACGCATACCCACATTTGTTATTGATGTACAAAGACACTAAATGGCAGCTTGTGTTTTGTTGTGTTGCATTTATTAACTGTATGCACGTTTTGTTATATACTTTATTACCACTGTCGTAGTTTATAAACTGTGCCAAACATTGCTCAATAAAGGTACATATTAACCTTTCATACTGGAATTCGAAATTTCTTGTCAAATAATGAAGACATGAAATAAATAAACTGTTCAAATTAAATCTTTAATTTTAAAATCAATCATAAATTAACCAGGTATCTGTTACTACGTTTTCAGATTTTCCTTCAATAAACCACAAAACAAAAAAAATACATTCTAGGGACAATCAATAGATTTTAAAACCTATAAATACATCTCATCATGAGTACGAGTATATATTATACACATCCAATGCATTTAAAATCGTAACGACTTTTCATACTCAAACTGTTGATTGGTTTCAATGAAATCTGTACAAGGCTTGTAAGCTAGGCAGAATTAGTGTCTATAAGGCGGAGAAGAAATGGGTAAGATATCCAAAGAAATCAATCTACTAAAATCATTATCTTGTCTATAATTGTGAATAAATAATACATGGTAAAAAACGATTAAAGACATATTTTATAATCTGGTTACTAACGAAACCGGGGGGGGGGGGTAGTAATGCACTTGTGTGTGTGCGTGTATATGGTTGCATTGTGATAAATGTAATTTGGGCTCTTTTTCCTAATCCGCTTTGTGACTTGATCCGTCTTGTAACTTCATTAATGCTTTCTTTTACATAAAAATTCAGAACTCCTATGGCTTGCAGAAGAGGACTCAGGATTTTATAGTACATGAATATATGAAATTTATATTTTCTGAAGGGATAAAAGAACAATATTTCCTCTCCGCATCCTTTACTTTTTTCACAAAGCTATAACACAAATTATTAAGGTTTTTTATAAAAGTTTTGTGATTTAAAATGTTTTGAAATCGTTATAAAATGTCGAGATGGATTTTATTTTTTTTCCCTGAATGTGTTGTTTGTACTTGTTAATTATTTAAAGAAAACTCCTTAAAGCATACATTTTCATAAGAATGTAATTCAAATGACATCAATCTTTTAGTTACATATATCTTTTGTTTTTTAATCCTGAGTAGTTAAAGCATAATTTTCTGGAAATACATGTTTTTAAATTTCGAAAGTATACCTTATATGAACAAGGAAATAATGCTTTTTTTTGGATATATAAAATATATATATATATATATATATATATATATATATATATATATATATATATATATATATATATATATATATATATATATATATATATATATTCTAATTCAGATTTTAATTCATTGTATTCTAAGCACACTCTGTAAGATTGAATTATCTTACAGCTAATTCAATCTTAAAAAAAAAAACATAAAAATTAAACACTCGTATCTTGGCAGGGACTTCAGGATTTCAATATTGATTTGAAGGGTATAATACATAGTGACATAATTATATCAAACTTAAATTTCAGTCTATTTTGATAGAGTATAATTGAACTGTAGAAATCGTTATTTGCGTTCACTTTTATTGTTTTGTAACAAAATTCAATTTCTTAAATAAAGCATAGTTTCAAAAAGCAGTAACAAACAACTCGATCTTTGTTGGAGACAAATCTTTAAGACAAATTCATAGTTAGAGCATGAATTTCTATACAACAAATTAAGGCGATCTATTAAATAGAAAAAAATAAATATTTCTCATGGTTAAATAGATATAAATGAGATTTTCCGTAAATTGAAGAGAATTTTAAAATGTTATTAATGAGAAAAACGAAACGCTAGGGACCAGTACGGATCGTGGATTTTGATTGCATTAACAGAAAGCCACTTATACTTTATAAAGGAGTTATCAGAAAGTTGTGAAAAAAAATTTTGTGTATTGATACTGCACAAGATAAAATGATGTTTTCTTTAGGTATACATGTATTGTGTCGAGACATCGATTTTTATAAATCATTAAAATGACATCTATTTATTTCCCAAAAAGGTGGCAAAGAGAAAAATTCCTGTTTGGCAAACTTGCAGAAAAAAAATCCCGTATTTTTTGTGAAAAGATGTTAATCTAAATTCTAATAATAAAAAAAAACCACACAAACACAATGCTTACAATTGCTTTACAAAACCTTTATTTTTTAATGTTCTTTTTCTGTTTAAATAATAGTAAATCATTTTGTACCCGCAATACCCATGACTGGAAGATCATGTGTTCAAATCACGGCGGAATCTGACCTAAAACATAGGTAGCAAATGTTTCTTTCCAAAAAATCGAACCTTTTAAGTGAAAGTCCATCGGATGCCACGTAAAAACCGAGACCCCGTATCACGTTCAATTTTGTCACACTTCAACAGGTTAAAGAACAATAAGAAAGATACCATTCCATTTACTCCATTTACTATTTAATATCTGTTTATGAGAACCTGTATGATTTAAAAGTTATTTTCTGTCGTGAAAACATGATGGTGTTGCAAATTCGTCACGTTTTGAAATACAGATTTGTTAGATTAAATTTCATACATCCTGTATATTTATATGGATCTTATTACCTTAATCCCATATATCTATTGTGATCCGCGCATCTGTCCGAATCAAATTATCAACTTCCCAGCTATTGGAATTAAATTCCCATTCGAGGAATATCGGGTCTGTGACGTAATGCTTAAGCTGTATGACATAAACAACCAGAAATTTCAGAATCATACAAATAAAAAGTCATATGATTGTATTTTTGATTATAATTATTAGTTAAATTAATTTAGTTTTCTTCGTTATTATTGCATTACATGTGTAGATAAATCTGTGTTTAATGTAATTTCAGTCTTAAGCATATGTGTTAATTTAAATGTCACTACTTCTTTTGAAATATCTGGTCATCTGGTATAAGATATTAGAATCTTTTTAAACTGTTTCGGTACAATGAAACAATTTTGGAGCGAATACTCGGTAAAAAGCAATTTTATTATTTATCTCGATAGAAAAAAAACTGTATTCTTCGTTGGCTTTGCTTCGTCGGAAAATATTTTTCCTTAGGGGGAACCGTGTATTATTTCTATTTTTCTAATTTCATCCGTTCCATAGCTATATTCTTTTCAATATTGTGCTTTTTAATTTTTCATAAGATAATTAATGTAAAATTGATGTAAATGTAGTAAGAACTAGAGATACTGCGAGCAATGAGCCCACTAAATGATACCCCCGCCTCCCATATGAATATAATGGCAGTGGATATGGTTTGCTCTGGAAAATCCAAAATATATGTCAGATCGAAAATCAAAATAAGAGGTGCACAATGGCAATATGTAATAAAGATTCTGTGAAAGTTGCATTAAAATTTTTTCAGTGGTATGAGAGAAGTTGCGGATAAGAGATGTGTACCACAAAGCGTAACAGACGGACGGACGTACAGACGGACGGACGGATGAACGTACAGACGGACGGACATACCGATTACTATATAACCTCTCGCTTTTTAAGCGGGGGGTATAAAAACAGTCAAAGGTTTTCCAACTATCAACAGGAAAACAATTTAACAATTTGAAAGGTATAAACAAAGTGACAAAATTTATAATCTAAAATTTATGTTGCATCTTAAAAAGATATGGCGAACTTCAGCTTTAACCCTAAAGATAATATCTTTCCAACATGATACAGTAAATTTTATTGATTTTAAATGTTTGCGCTATGTGAAATCTATTATTGCATAATAAAAAAGGATTATGAAGGGGGTACACCTTTAGTTTACAAATTGATAAGCTAAGTTTTTATTAATGTCTAAAAATAAGAAAATTGATAAAAAACAATGAAATAAGATGGACCTCTATACATAACAAATATTAATTAAATCTAGTATCTAATATATGCATGGCCATATAGAAAATGTATGTTTTTAAATGTAGATTGTTATATTTTCTTTAACTTTGAGTACTATATTAAGTCTTAAGTATTGAGAAAAATAAAGGTTAAAGGTTAATGAAAATAAAAACTTCAAATGCATTCATGATCAACTATAGCTTATTAAATTAATCAAGACTGTGTAAGCATCGCAGTAGCTTTCATTGATCGTTTCGAAGTAACGCAATATCGTTATTTGAATTTCATGACTAAAAGGATCGTTTTATTGGGATACATGTATGGTATCGAACTTTTGTTTAGCTACACATGAAGAATAGAAAAAAAAACTAAACATAGAGCTCTTTTGTGTAAATTTATAGTGCAAGCAGTTGTAGAATGCACTTTATTTTTTGTATTTTTGACGTGTTTTGACCAGCTTTGTCCTTTCTTTTAAACAATCGATATCCTACTTGCATAAGTATATGAGTCTTAAAAAGGTCTTTGATATGAAATAATATAAAAAGTATAAAAAGATCGTTTTAATATTTTGAACTTCAGAACATTACATGTATTCGAAAGGAATTTCATTCATAATGTGAGCCAGCAATGATTATACTCGTCCCTCAAGGCCATTGAGCATGGAGAGATCTTTTCGTGTTAGTATTTCCTGCGACAAGTGACCTTGGTTTATAAAATCTTATTCCAAGGATCGGTATCTACGCCCACAGTGGACTTAAAACCCACTGAACCATATCCGATCAACTCCATACTTCGCGATTCTAGAGCAGACACTCGATTGCGCCATGCACATGATATCAAGAAAATGACAAAATTCATAATTTAAATTTATATTGCATATTAAATCTTTGTATGAAAAACATCAGCTGTAAAAATATAAAGAAAACATCTATTCAAGATGATAGAATAGATATTATTGATTTTAAATGTTTGCGCTATGTGTAATCTGTTATTACATAACAAAAAGGAATATGGCGGGGATACACCTATAGCGTACAAACTAATCAGCTTAGTTTCAATTCATGTTCAAAAGATATCAAAAGATTAAAATGAACAAGAATATATTATGTACCTATATAGATAACAAGCATGCATTATATTTATAATCCAAATAACGAATGCATGCCCATATAGAAAATGGCATTTTTGCAAATATAAATAGTTATAACTTTCTTTTATTTGAGTAAAATATAGAGCTTTAAGTTTTGGAATAAGATATTAAAATTCCAGCTAAAGAAAAAAGAATGAAAAAAAAAATATATTTATGATCATCTTCAGCTTATTAATTGCATAAAGTTTGTGTAAGCATATCTGTAACTTTTATTGATCCTTTTGAAGTAAAACTGAGGAACATGTATCACAATATCGTTATCTAAATTACACTTACAGGACTTTACAGACCGTTTTATTGAGATATATAATTGGATTTTTGTTTTACCTCACAGTGAGAATAAATAAATCCAAAAAAAAAAAAAATCATAAAAAAGAAAACCATAATGAACTTTTGTGAATATTTATAGTGCAAGCAGTTGTTGTGTGTTATTTTTGTTTGTATTTTAAATGTGCTTTGAACATCGCTATCCTAAATGCCGTGAAGGATAAAGAAAAAAATCACGAAATAAGCATAAAACACCTGCTTCGGTCATGTAGACAAAATGAATTAGATTGCAACATACAGATGTTTGTTTATTTTTCGGTGAATTAGAACAATGATTTTAAAACAATATAATTTTGAAACAATCTTTTCTCTTTACTTTGGTTGCGTTCCCAATCTAGCTTTTCAGACCTCCCCTAATATCTAAAAATAAAGGACAAAACATCACTATTTTACTCTGATACGATCTACTTTGTCATCGTGACATAGAGATTATATTGCGTTTGCGTTTGAGTCCCGACTATCAGCAAAATGATGAAAATCATAGTTTTACTAGTTTGCTTTTCCCTTTAGCAAACACTTTTAGCAGAAAGCTAACATATTTTGAAATTTTACGAATTAATATTTTCGTATATATATTAAAAAATACGTACAACAGGTTATCAAGTAAATTTTACATCAGTTCACACTATGCTCCTTCAGATTTATTTTTAATGAAAAGAAACCTAAATAAATCACGATTAATTAAATAATTTTACCAAAAGTACTCTAAGTCTGTCCTTTTTAGGAAAAATGTAAAAGGTACATTATACATCTAAGTCCAAAGAATAAAATTCAAAGAATTATCAACTTTTCTCAAATTATGTCTTTTTCTGTCCTTAAATTAGTAACATGTTTCTCAATTATCTTTGATAATAATTTTTTAAAAAAATATTTTGAATAAGATTTTACGGAATAATAGAGTATGAGTTTTCTTGGATCGTAACGGACAATCCCCTGATACAATTTTCAACCACAGGAGGTATTTTGGCGCTCTTGGTGTGACTCATATTTGTGTCAATGGTTACTGTATTCCAGTTTTTTCCCCTAAAATTCCTGATTTTAACAAGTTAGCAGGAAATCTTTGGGTTGAGACCAAGACACTATTAACAATTAACAATTGCCTAATGTATCAAGCATCACACTTGTTTTGAACAAATGTAAAAGAATGTTCTGAGATAAAGAAAGATTGATTAGATAAACAAAAACACTCAAACTTCTACAATCTATTAATCAGAATCAAGGACTTTAGTATGGGGAAAATTACGGTTTCCGGAGATTTGTTCATTTAACACTTTCTTCAGTAGATGCATTAATATTCACTTTAAATAATGATTGTATTCATTTGGACAAAATAATGATATACATTTTTTGAGTAAACCTGTTTTTTTTTTTTAGATTTTGCATTTACAACAACTGATGTCTGGTATAACTTGCACTTTTTAATTTACCTAGTACACTGAACTTAATATTGTACAATATGTAGAGGTGTAACAGCAAACTGTATTCAATTCATAGAAGAAAAAAATAAGTGACTCGGAATAAACTTATTCTTAACTTCACTCAAGTATCACGTTTCCTGATTATAAATGAAATAATCATACTTTCATCATGCCCATATGATGAAGATGCTTCCCAGTTTTGTGCGATTCAAATCAACGATGTAAAAACGATATTTTATTCCAATAAACTTTGGATTATAATTTAACACGAACAGAAAACAAATCTAACTGTCTTCTTTATAAAGCATTCTTCCTCTGAGCCGGTTACGTACATGTTTGTACTGTCTGAAAAACAAATAATCCAAGTACATTCATTATTCATCAAGTCTTTAACCAATAAATTAAAACTTTTATTTTTCCTCATAAATAATTATAAACATCTTTGAAAAATATATTTCTAAAGAAATTTCTCTTTGAACACAGAGATAAGCTGGTCTCTGATACCATCTGAACACACCTTTCGTATATTTTTGTGCATAGAAAAGGAAATTATAAAACCTGCGTTTTTGATGTTAATCACCGTGTGTTTTTGATGATTATCGTTTTAAGACACAAATCGAAGCTTATCAATAACCATGCAAAAACTATGAATATGAAGGAAAAGCAACCGGAGGAATAAAAATGTCCTTTCGGTTTGTTGCTTTGGATTTACTCATCTGTGTACTAGAACTCGCTATTTTTTTTCTTTTAGAAATAATATCAAAGTGTATCGAAAAACAAGAGTGAAAAAGTAAAAAAAAAATCATTTAAACAATGATTTGAAAAATGTGATAAAAATGATCATACATTTATTCCGATTTTGATCATTTTTTTAACCCTAGCAGATCACCTACAACAAAATGACATAATTTTTCTGTTTGTTTGTTTTATTGATTTTTTTTATCTTGATCTGCCTTAACATTTTCTTATCGTTACCATGCTGCAATTCTAAACTGTAATTTCAATAAACGACTAATTTATTTAATTTTTTTGTCAGTTAACATTTTCTGCGATATAGGGGCATCGATTTAATCATTCCAAAAAAAAAACCCAAATCTCTCTCTGTGCGCCCCACCTGGGAAAACTGTTTATATTTTACGTATTATTAACCAAAACAGGAAATGCTACTGTCATTTAAAACGTCAAAGATCTCTTTTTTGTTTCTTTAAAAACATTTTTTAATTTTTGAATTTTGAAAATAACGATATTTTCAAATACAGCTTATCTTTAAGCAATTCAACTGACATTTTTTGTTATTTAATTATAAGGTTTTTCAGATTTAGATCACTTACTACAGTTTATATTTTTTTTTCCTTATATCACTTTGACCTCGAAAATATAAGTAATTGCTATTTCGAGTTATATTTCATAAACCAATAAAGAAATGCACATGTGTATATCAATCTTGATATCAACGATGAATCATCCTGATAAAGGTCGTTTAAAGCTGCCAGTGAATGTATGGTTTCTATTTTAAAGTATGTCAATTGTAAATGGTCCACCTATTGATATTTTTAGAATTATATTCTTTTTTCACTTATTTATATAATTTTTCCTGCATTTTACAATTTGATCAATAAAAATACGGTAGTACAAATATTATTTTGTGCATATCAACTTTGTTGTTCATTAGGTGATGGGATAATTTTTTCATGAGGAATTCCTGTTTTTAAAAGGTATTAAAGCTGCCAAGAATGTATTTTTTCTGTTTCATTTCAAAAGATGTTTATTTTTTATGTTATAAAATTTTCACCGACTGTTTTTTTATTCCATTTTTGCCATTTTTAAATGTTGAAATAATGGAAATACCCTAAGAGACACGCTATGTAGGACACACTTTGTGGGTACCAATTACTTTTGTTTTATATAATTTAAAATATAATGATATGAAAGTCAAATACAAGCAATCTAACCACAAATTTTAGTGGAAGAAGGATAAACTCAATTTAGAATATAATTTATTATTAGGTCATTATATATCATTCCTTTTCCTAGTTCTTCACTGGAAGTGCAATGTGATTACTATTTCATTTTGTTCAGGGATTCTTCTTCACATTTCAAAGGATGGATATGCAATGCAAATTATGTACAGCGATGGTGATTGCATTTACACTGCTTTATATGGAAAGTTAATATACAATGTTTATACAATATCCATTTGTAAGATATAATTTTTGTCTCTAGCTAAAGAAAAAACGGTTGTATTTTTCATCTAGTTGCATTAAAGTATCATGACATGTAAAATGTATTACTCAATGCATGTATATAAATGAAATAAGATATGTTATTAATGACAAAGAATGTAGAGACTCAAATAAAACTGCAGTGCGTGTAGAAACTTGCCCAAAATCAGCCGAAGAATGGGAAGAGGCAGCACTAAGGAAGGGCTGCCATAACGTAACGTTTTCTAACACTTGTTCTTCATTTGAATACCACTGTGTTATTAATGCTTGGATCAACGAAACGATAGAAGTGTGTGCACCGATTCGAAATATTCTTGGTAATAATCAATGATGAATTCACTTGATTTTGTCGATTTATAATTTCTGTAAAAATTTATTTATTGTTTATGCAACAACTTTATTATTCCTTGAATATTACTAGGAAATGTGTGTGCTGAGTACAATTTTGGTGGTTCAAGAATACAGAGCAACAATAACGCAACATGCGAAACATGTCCAGAAGTTTATTTATCTAACATGAGCTATAATTGTAAGTATTACATGTTCTTGGAAATTATATAGTACGAACTTGTTCTTTGCAAATTCATCGCATTAATGGTGGCCCTGGACAAAGAAATGTACTTACGAAAAGAAAACAGCTATTTTAGCACATGTATCAAATTCTTTCCTTATATATAAAGCATATAAAGATATTTTAACACTACTTACATGTAAATCCTTCATCATAAAGAATACCAGTATTGGATTTTTCAATACTATATTATTAAAACAAATAAATCAATTTTCTTTTAAACTTGTCTCTCTAATACATGTAGATTCTGAGTGCTACGATTTAGTTTACAAAGCACGTAACAGAAGCAGACGTTTAGATATTACTATGCCATCCGCTGTGGAGAGTACTATGAAGGCAGAAAGTATAAAACCAATGACATCACCGAAAAAGAAACGACAGTCAAATGTCCAGGAAGCAAACATGGATATGGATACCAAGATTGTGTAATTACTACTGTTTTTTTCTGTTTATGCAGAGGACACATGCTACATTATATTTAAACAGAAAATAAAAAAAAATACTTATTATAAGACATTGTTTTCAAATATGAAACACATTAAGCTTAGATTTAAAATTTTGCAGCATTCCCATCAGCTTTGGTATTGTCGCTGTTACAGTTTTAATTCTTATATGTTTGGTACACTGTTTAAGTAAAGAACATTTTCTGAAAGGTATGTGCTGATTTTTCAGTTGCTCCTTTAAATTAATCTATTTAATTAAAAAAAATGCACGAGAGGTATTGAGTATAAATAATTACATTGTCTTGTAAATTTTCAGGTTTTATTTCAAACAGTTGCAGATTTCAGGCAAGACAAAAACGTAAGATTTAATGAAGACTCTCCATCAAAAATTACCAGGCATATCATTTGATATCTGTTGGAATTTAATGTGAATTCCATTCTCTTTCAAACATATACATGTCAATTTTTTTTGAAATTTGTAATTCATATGTTTTAGGATCCATCACTAACGAAAACACGAATACGGACATTGAAAGCACACCATTGAAGGAAGTAACATAAATTATTTTTGTTTACGGGAGAACAATAATCAAAGCACCAGCAGCTTGTTTAAAAGATACAAAAAAAAACAATATCTGGTTCATAAACCGTTTGTCTGAAACATGTTATTAATATTGACGTGAAGAAGAAAAGGCAGCTAATAATTTGTTGAGCTCCATTTATCAAATATATGCACATACATGCATTCTTATATACTCTATTTACACTGATGTATTATGTTAATTGTACTAAATTGTGTTTTATTAAGGAACACTTAACCTATATCGTGTTTGTTTTTTGTTTCTTTTTTACTTTTCTCAATATTAAATGAAAGTCAGAATAATTATGATTTTTAACAGAAAGTCTGTTATCACAATCTTAACATCCAACTGTTTAAAACAACATATTTCAATGAAATCTTGAGATTTGCAAGATTAATTAAATATTGTCGCAAAATTATTTTTGTTTATTATTAGTGTACATTATTTATTTTCTAAATAATTTTTCCAATAAAAATTTTCTAAATACATTTTCTAATAAAAATTAGCCGTCAGAAGCTCAGTCGGTAGAAAGCTTGCTTTGTGATGGGAAGGTCATGTGTTTTAATCACGGGGACAGATGCCTTAAGTCGATGCAAAATAGGTAGCAATTTTTTCCTTCGCCAAGTGCTCGTCATTCTGTAGTGAAAGTTTCGGGTCCTTTTGATGAGACGTTAAAACGAGGTCCTGTGTAACAATAGGCGTTGGCACGATTAAAAAAATCCTCCTGCTCAATGTTCCTGAGTGCTGATTAACTTTATATATTTGGAGCATTTCATCGGTTTATGGTGACATCTCAATATGAATGAAAATTCTCAAACATGGCATACAATAACATATCAATCCAATAAAAATACAACTTTTGCCCAGTTCGCACCATCATCAATTCATCCTCTTTGTCCCCTTAACGTCGTTATGTCATGAACTCTTAATATAGCTCTTTCTATTTTGCTTCAGTGCACTTTTTTCATAGCTGAAAGAGAAACCGACTTCAGTCCTATTTATAATTTCCGAAAGTATAGCTTTGTGTAATTCACAAATGGCACGGTCGCAAATTCCATTTTTATACAAAAAGAAGTTTTTTTTATCTATTATGAAACTTAATCAATGCACTCTGGAAGGGATTTCTTATATAGCATCAACATTTTTTGAATCTTCTGTGCACCATATAAATTGCAGACAAAACTTGAATTTAAGTTAACAAATTCGAAAGCAAACACTTTACAGGGATATATGATCAAATTTTATTCCATTATAGCTATACAGTAAGTCATTTTCCCCATTTCAATCGGTGACATTGTAAATGATAAGTCCTTCTTCGGAACCTTGTCATTTCAACGGAAGATGCATTTTATAATGAAACGATATCTACAAGGATATGGATGTCTGCTATTGATTTCCATGTATTTTACACGTACATCCAAATGCATACATAATGGATTGAAAATCGATAGCATACCGCTTTATGTTACCTTTTTTTCGAAACAAACTTCCATCAAGAAGTGTCAACTGTATCTAAATACCATCATAAGTGCATATAGTAAGTGAAACTAATCACTTTACTACCGAGATCATAGCTTTAAATTCAAACGAGGTAATGAATAAAGAATTGATCTATAATTAAGCAAAATCATTAGCATGAACTATTCTTTTTAAAATAAAAATGATTTAGACACGGCTTTGTCTCGAAAGGGGATGTTGTTAAGTTCGACGAAGGCAATTTTGATTTTGCGATTCCTACCTACCTTGAACAATTCAATATCTGCTTTAGAAATAAATATACTGTATAATTTGTGAAAGTTTAACATGTATCAACATATAACATATAGCGGCATTTAAATGTAAAGTTTAGTGCTGTCAGATTTACATGTATGTACATGTGATTATTTAAATCAAAAACGAGTATTTTGTTTGAAAACCTATTTGAAACATTCTTAAACCATGATTGTTTTTTTTTTTCATACTAAGGAAATGAAAATGAAATAGTTTGATTTCTACGAAGAATGAATTCCATTCGTATTTCCCTCAAGAAAGAAAATTATATTCATCACCCGATTCGTTATATTAACATGGTTCTTGAATAACAATAGGCGATGTTTTCTCAAGAATTTACTGAAAATTTACGTCATGTATGTATATTTATATGTATCATCTCTTCTATCCTTTATTATGAAACTTCTTGTCCATAAAACAAAATTCCATAGATATTTTGAACGTGATTAAACAGAATTAGTGAGAACAAGACTCTTCACAGAAAGAATAATTTATGAGGCAGATTGGAATACTAGTAGGGATGCAGACTTAACTGATGCACGTGGACTTTACTAATTTTTATAAACCATTTACAAAACATAGGCAATTGCATACCACATTCTTAAAAATTGAAGTCTTATCTTCACAAATATACGTTGCAAAATCAAACAGTATTAATGCATCGAGGAAAATGAAAACACAAATTGGTCTATGTCTAATCAAGATCCTTCAAGTGCGAAAAATAAGATAAAACTGAAGTATTGATTCATTGATAGTATATTGTTTAACGTCCCTGTCGAGAATTTTTCACTCATATGGAGACGTCACCGTATGCCGGTGAGGGGCTTCAAATTTTTACATTTACTCGGCACTCAGGGCCATTGAGCAGTGAGGGATCTTTATCGTGTTAACCCTTGCTGCTGACACTGGGCCTTGGGTTTTAAGGTCTCATCCGAAGGACCTGCAACTTTCACTTCGAAGTGCCGTGCGCATGGTGAAGGAATAGTTGCTACCTGTTTTATCGACTAGGTCAGAACTTATCAAAACTTTTCAAAGAGGAACGACAAATCTGAACAATTTGTACCAGATCAAAGATGTACATGTGCATTCCAATATCATCTCAGTATTTTTAGGCGTTTACAATAAATAATGGAAAATTACAGAAATATTTCTACAAAAAAGATATGGTGAAAATATTAAACTTTAAAATTACATGAACTAATGAACAGTAATACGGTATTGTATTAATCAAGAACATTTTTAATGATTAAGGGGGCTCATTACATCCCACAGTTTATTTTAGATATCATTACAGCATCACTTATAAAACAAATATCAAATACATGTATCCAAATGGAGGTATTGATATCATAAATATTTTTTGGAGAACTTTGAAACTTTTTTTTTATAATTTTAATAAGCCAATAATGCGACAAACATGAAGGTGAAAAACTAAATCTTAATAATATTAAAATTTTCCTTAACATTTCATTTAACATTAAAGTATACTTTATGTAAAATATCTACAACTTGCACAAATATCGTGAAGATTGAAGTTATTTGCCTATGAAATAATATACACGCACGAAAGAGGACAAAACGAGTCATTTTTTCACACTATAACACTATTCGTTATGAGTTGGTCTTTTCTACATTTTTTGGAAAGGTAATTCTCAAAGTTTGTATAAAAACATACATATTTTGGTTTCCAAAATGATGGAGCAAAGACTCACTATACTTTAAAAATATAATATTATGACATAACTTTCGTATCTTTTCGAGATATACTTGAAGTCCCTTAAGTCAATGGTCATATTACAAACATGATTTGAATGCCACATTTTATCAGCACTTGTGTAGCGTATTGGTTAGCGTGCTGGTCTCAAAAGAGAATGCAACTCAGGATATTTTTTGCCAAGGTTCGAACCTAATGGATACCACATTTTTTTTTTTATAAAAGAATAGATTTTAACGAAAAAATTTTCCTCAAAACTTTTTGTTTCTCATGATTTCATAAAAATTAATGATGAAAACTTTATTCTAAATACTAAATTCACAATTTGAATATGATTTTTATATATCTGAAGCTATTGGGCTTTCTGCACGCTAGGATCACACAACTCCTTTCAACAAGGTTGTAGATTTTAACTCAAATTTCCTTCAAACAAATATGTCAGTGATTGATAGAGCTCAATGCTTTGCTATAAAATGGCACATTACTTGTATGTCGAAGATTTGACAGTTGTTTTCTTTTGTTTCTGCTCAAAAGCAACCCTTCTTGGATTATGCATAATGAATCCTTTACTTTGTTTTCACTGTTTATATAGCAATTCTTCCTAAAAATTAAAATACAACATTATTAAGTCAAATTTCATTTTTCTTTATTCTATCTTCATATAATGGTATATTCAAAATGGAATTTGCATAAACACATTCTAGATTTCATAAAATCAAGTGATAGGTAGAGCCTACCTCATACAGCAGGAACGTAGCATCGTTTTTGAAAGTGGGGGGCCAACCAGAAATTTTTTTTTACTTACCTGAAAAAGTTGACAAGCCAAAAAAAATAAAAAAATAAAAACAAACAAAAATGTCGCCCAAAGTCGAAAATTCTATATCTTGGGGTGGGGGGGGGGGGGGGAGAGGGGTGGTCATCTTTCTCAAAACCAAATTAATTACACTTCCAATTTTTTCCGTTCAATTCCTTGATAACACTGTACTGTGGTAAAAAGTGGGGGTGGGGGGAGGGCAACATGCCTTTCAGTGAACATTTCCTATAGAAGGGTAATGTTGGTCAAAAAGTGGGAGGCCGGCCTCCCCCCCCCCCCGGTTGCTACGTCCCTGTACAGCGATGTGTGCCTTAAGGAAAAGATGAATTGTGAGTTAGGAAGGATAACTCCTATCTATAACCCGTTTCCTTGTTATAGTGCACCCAGTGGCGGATTTAAGGGGGGGCGCACCCGGCGCGCGCCCCCCCCCCCCCTAAAATTGTCAAAGTTAACACAAATCACAGTTTCGTCTACAAAATGTTAATATGTATACTCGGTAGACCTCATTTTTACCCTACAAAATCGCTAGAATCCAGGAGCTTCCGGGGGCTTTGCCCCCTGGGCCCCCACCAGGGCTTTGCCCTGGACCCACTGGGGGCCTCAAGGCGGCCCCCAGACCCCTTGCCTACTTTTGGCGCCCCCCTAACTTCAAATCCTGGATCCGCGCCTGGCACCATAACACAGAACATGAAAAAGTGGGATGCATTTAAATTCAACATATTCACTGTTTTAGTATCATTCATAAGCAAATGTTGTCATAATTTTACTTAATGAAACTACATAGTATATGCATACCATGAAAATATATATGACGTACGTATAACAAAACTATAAACAACAGGGAGGTAATAAAACGACTAAACACCACCACTTAAATATACTGAAAAAATGGTCACCAAAAAGTGCTGCCACTGTTCAAACTGTAATTTTGCATAAAAATATCTAAACGTATTTTTCACTTTTTAATTGATGGTTTGGCATTGGTTAGGCAGAAATACCTTTGTAAATAATTTTTTTTTTCTAGTTGACAAATTCATAACACGTCCGTTTAGAATGATTTTTGTTAACATTTCAA